GAGCCAGCCTTAGCACCCAGTCACAGCTCATCAGGTTGGCTCGGTACCGAGGATGGCGCCTTTTCCGCACGACGCCGACATGGATGCCTCTTTTCTTGCAGTTCCCTTCACTTCGTTTGAGGAGCGAGTGGAAGAGATTATTTGTAAGTTGGCCTCATCGCAACCTGAAGACGCATTGCCTCGAAACAGTGTCTGTAGATTTGTGCGAATAGGTCCTCGGAGCACCGTCCTGCCACCCCAACCGATCCACAGTCACAGCCCCAAGACAATCCCACTTCCACTTCCAGTGAGGCAAAATAAAAACCCATTTCACTCGTCTCTTCAAATGAAATAGATGATACTGCAAACCCAATCTGTTAAGGGGCTCTTTGAAGCCTTTTTTTCTACATACCTATGGATGTCTCTTTTCTCGGAGTTCTGACGCCATGTTTACGTTGCGAAATCGAGAATAAGCCAAGTTTATCCGGCTAAAGTGGACCTGCATACACCATCTTTGTATATACGTCTCGAAGACTCTCCTCGTTCAACAGGCATGCCAAGCTCATCGGCCAAAACAGACGTACGGGTCTAAGCAATCCCAGTCAGTAAACCTTAGTAACCCAAATTAACGGGTTCGAACTGGTGGTGTCGCAACCTGACTTTAACGCGTACACACTTACAGCTCATCAATTTAACCAGGATTACTTACGGACTAACACAATCTCTGTCATAATTTTTTCCTTTTTCTCTCGGTCATTAAGCCTTGGTGAACCGGGGCTGATGTGAAGCTTCTGCTAATTACTGTGATCGATGTGAAGACTTTCATTTCGTATGAAAGTACATTATAAAGACTCGTGGGCCAAACTCACCAGAAGACGTTGACTGATTCGCGTTGCACTTGAGCCGTTTGGCTTTAATACCACGTTCAGATTGATGACATCGACAAGACATTCTCCAACGTTTCGGGCTGACCTTTTGTTCGTCACATTCTGGTGTACTTCCATAAGACATTAAGGTCTTCACATCAAGCTCATCTCAGGAGACTCTTCGAAACCCGCATTTTCTTCATAATTACTCTCATTTACGACCAGTTAGCATACATACACACAGAGACACACTAGAATATACTTGAATTAATATCTATATATATCCATCTATATCTCAAATTTTGCTCGTAATGAGTATATATATCATATAGAAAAAGCCGGTTAGTCTTCTTGACCTAGTATTGACATGCGGCGTTTGATGATATATCGTGGACTGCATCAACCTGCGCGAATCAGACGACGTCTTCTGGTGAGGTCGACTTATGAATCTTTTCATCATGTACTTCCATACGAAACGCGTGTCTTCACATTATTACACAACCTTTTTCATATAATCCGCGATAATCTCGTTTACGGTCGTTCCCAACTCGAGTAGCAAGTAGCAAATAAAACAGTTGCAGAGATCTTGCTTCCTCTCAACCCATTGGGTTTCATTGTGTTTTCTCAACTTTGTCGCGCGACCTCGAGGAACATAGCAGATGCACCGTTGCTGTGCTGTTATCTTCCAGCCTCAAACCGCCGACTGGATACATTACCAGACCTTTTAAGGGATATGTACTCGACTGCCTCATTGTGGAACGGCATCAGCCTTAGCAACGAGCCAAAATCTTTAAAGTGAAATTGCAAGTCCCCTCCTCTCCCTTTAGGCCTAATACATTTCCCATCCTTTAGTACTGTATCACAGCCCTGACTCCCTGCCCCCCACCCTTCAGAAGGATAAACTCCTTGTCTGACCCAATTTGCCCATCTGCCTTGACGAGTTGTAACCCGGTGCCAGGGCTGGTACTGCTTTCTGTCAACGTTGAACGTCTGACTAAGTTCCCAGTCAACGATGCAGATGTTGGAAGAAAAATGTTGCCAGTTGACACGAGCCCGGCCTCGTCAGCTCCGATCATTCGAAGGACGCCTCAACACGAAGACAACAGCATCGACAGCAAAAGCATCATCATTATCAACAGCAGCAGCAACAGCAACGTCAGCAACCTCAAAAAGATACAGCAGCAGCAATAACAACCTGAAAAGGCTGTAGCAACAACAAAAATGAGTATCAATAGCGGCATCAGACCCAGCAACAACAATATCAGCCTCAAAAGCTACAG